GAGCGGTTATGACCACTGCTCGACCCCAAGGCTACCTTTGGAGGCCGAATAATACATGGTATCCTTTGTCAAGTGACAATTATATGATGTTTACATGTGCATCATGCAAAATACATCCACAGAACGTTATCCCCCTGATTTCCTTGATCCACAGTCCACCCTTGGGAGCCCTACTTGACCAGTACTCAAATAATCATGTTGACACCATTGTCATTTCCGTAGCAAAGAATTGTGGCACTTTCCCAATCAATACTCAAATAGCCATGCTGACAAATTGCCATTCCCGTAGCAAATGGCAGCACACTTTCGGAAAACTGGGTCTTTCACACATACACTAACAGGTTCATGTTAAAATGATCCTTTCCTTTACTGTTAGAAGTGACAATGTCTCTGTTGTCTTTCCTCGGGGATCTTCTTTCAGTTACAAGATTTATACTACCGATGGTGTAATTTTTCAAAGTTTAACACCAGGGATGGTACTTTTTGGATTCTCCCTAGTACTCTTACATCACGCATTTGTATACATTCTGGCTTCCCCTTCTACTGAAACAACGTTCAGAAAATATCCAGAAAACTGTGTGCTTTTATAAATATTTCAATATGCATAAGTGAAAATGTTCTATCATAACCAAATTAAATACTGGGTACACCAAGTTTATATGTGTTATGACGTTTAAGCCATTGTTCGTGAATTTGATCTATTACTACTGATAATTTCACCTACTCAAACATTTCAGTATTAAGCAACAAAAAATTCCACACTATTCTCACCAGAAAACCAAGGTAATAGTGTGATTTTTCTCAGACATGGTGTTGCACAACTCAGAAAACCACAGCAAACATTTAATTTTCTTTCAAAATCAGTGTCTCATTTTCTTTTATCTGTTCATGAACATTCACTCCCAGCTAAATATTTCTATTTCGACATTGAAATATTATCTCTCTGTTATTACATAAAATAACATTATGTTGCATCTTCAAATAATACAGCACATGCCACTAATCACAATTAACTTCATATCACAAGATATTAACATGAAATTTTTCCAGCTTCACAAAACACACATAAAACAAAAACAAACAATTAAATAAATAAAGAGCCTTCCAAAGATTCTATCAATATGCGTTCTGAAGATTTTGCTATTCTGCTAGATTAGGTGTAGGTGAGTGATTTTTGTGAAATGTTAGACATTTTATGTCAGAGAAAATCACTATGTAGCTTGGAAATTAAAGGTCACAACTGCTCTTTGATTGTGTTGTGAAACTATTGATGGATTAGGCATCCTAGTTAGCCACTATAACTGTGTAGTAGTTGCAAAATATAATTCATACATTCCGCCATACATTACTACTGATAGCTTAGAAAGACAGCAAGGAATATTACCTCTTTTCAGTTATTTTGCACACTGAACATCACTTGATAGGTCGTACATTATTCTTCTTGTTGAAGATGTATTTTTAAATGTCTCGGTCAAGGAGTTCAAGTTAATGACAGCATACACTCTAGTAATTATCAAAAACGTCTGCAATAAACCATTTTAATCTTCATAGTACCAACCTTACTTATTCCTCATCCACTTTGTCATATATATTCAGATGAAGTGAATTAACTTGAGAGCTACATCAGATAAGTCTAATAAACAGATGATTTGACAAGATAAGGAAGGTATTACTGAAGAGTGCTGAATACATAGCAATTGAGTTAAAGTCTAATAATAACTGGGCTGAACAGAAAGTGTGATACACTAAGAAATCAATCTTTAATAAAACTATTAAAACACAAAAACGCAGTCTGTATATTTGTTACTTATAACAATTATATCTTCTACACTGAGTCAGGATCAGGTGAGATTCAGTAGAAACTTGAAATAAGACTTGAGTAAAACTAACTAAATGAGAGGATTCTATCTAAAAGGAAACCTCGTATTTGCTTAGTGTAACTGTGCTACCACGTGAATGGTCATTCTCATTCAACATTGGCGGGGTATAACCTGTGGATATTACTTGTACATCCAGGGAAGGACATTGCCTAATCTTACACAAAGTCGTATGTAGCAATGTTCTCTATGAGAGGTAACAGGTATCACTCGACTTTGTGAATGACAAAAAACAAAGGTAACTTGAGAAAAGATTAACTCAATGGTTTTCTTGACCACATGTTATGCGAAAAATTTACACATACTTGGAACAAAGAATAAAATCAGATTAAATATGGATACTACAAAAACAAACCTACCACATGGTTAGACTCTTGATCAAGAACTGTGGCACTTTCCCAATCTATGTCTTTGATAAATAGCATTCTTTGTTCCATGATAGCTTATGGTGGTTTGTTATCCAAGGAGGCTGGTTTTTTAATTGTGTTTCTGAAGTCCAACTTTTAATGAACTTTCTATCCCCAGCGTATTCTTTACCGCATTTACGTTTAAATCCATATATGGCATGTTTCTGCTCACAGACAGATACGTGAATTTTTACCTTAGTTAAAATTTGTTTAAGTGTTCTGTTTTTTTTAATAACACACTAAGATCAAATCATGCTAGACCATCACAGATTTATGGTGTACCCAAACATACAAGACAGATTTATCAACAGCCTTATCTATAATGTTGCGAAACATCTCGCCATCCTCCTGAAATCTTTGACCAATGACAGCAACTACACCATCAAAGATTGAAAGAATTTTGTCAATAAAAAAAAAAATTAAGAATCAACTCCACAGATATACTTCTTAGTTTGATGTGATTCCATTATTCACAAAAGTATCAACAAACGATGCCACTTCATTAATTGCACAGGAGCTTCAATGATATTCTACCTATTGGACCAAAATTTCAGCTCAGTCAATAATGGAAATATTAAAAACCCATCTTTCAGCATCGAATTTCATTTCGAAAGATCTTATCTACATTATGGCAAATGACACATCAATGGGTTCTCTTTTTTCCCTTGTTATCTGTGGGATTTTCATGCCCGAAAATGAAGGCAACAAACAAAGGAAGAGTCACATTCAACTCTATACGGGCCTTTTTAAAATCAACCAACAAAAAGTCCTACTATATATATATATAATCTAATTTAAAATATGGAAAGTTCAGAAGACTATGATGTGATAAACATTGTATCCTACGTTACTTCTTTGAGACCTTATTATCATTTGATTTGTTACCTTTCATAGTGTTTCCAATTGTATATACATTGACAGAAGTCCTTACCAATTTGTTTATGTTTGAGAAGTTTGTGAACTTACATATTACTGGTGAATAGATTAATTGATAATCGGGTTTATATAATATTGTTGATGAGCGCCTTAGCAACAACATGTGTATCATTTCATGATTTTCTCACACAAAAATATTTTTATTTTTTAATGTTTGTTTCTAGTTAGTATTGTAATTCAACCTGACAAAGAGCTCTTTAAAGAGCTGGAAAGCTTCTGGGTCAATAAAACCTTATATTTTAACATGATACTTCAGCCTTTAAGATTATTTTTTACGTTAAAAATGTACCACTGACACTTGTGTAAGAAATGAAAATTAAATCTTAAAATGAAATATAATTTTCTAAATATCTTTAAAACTGCAACAACAACAAACCTGTGATAGAATACAATAAGATAGACGGCGAAACTTATGATATTAATATAAGTTTAGATATTTAGGTGTTTTAAAATGTGGAATTTTGTGTTTATACACGTGGTTACCAAGGCCACAACTACTCTTTCGAATAGATCGCTTAATTTTCAACGCTAAGACTACAGAGGATTGAATAAGTTATGCTAATATTATTTTTAATATACAGAGCAGCTAGTTACGTAACACTCCCAACAGATATAAAGCTGCGGGGGAATGGCATGTATAAAAACTACATTTGACATTGTTTGGTAGGAAGTGTGATGCCACAAAAATAATTGATTATTTCTGAGAATGGTATGCATCAGCTCTTTCCAAAGCAAAGTATTCATACACTCAGACCATAAAATAATGTATTTAGGTCGGGGATTTAGAACTTCTAAGATGGGGATATCCCTTGTACTTAATGGCATTGAGAAAATGTGGATCAACCAGGGTTCAAGGACCATCTAGAAAGAGACCTGCAATAAATCGTAATTAAGCCTTGGTAAGCAAAGTGCAACGTCTTGTAATAGGTAATAATCTACGATCACAAAGGTCAATGACTGAAAGTAGAATAGTAACATGTTCATTACACGACATCTACAACGTTAGAAATCTACCCTAAATTGACGGCATCCTGAATAGTAACAGGTACGTATAGATTCTTATCCACCATGCCATTCCATCAGGAACAAGACTTATTAGTCAAGTAATCATCTTCCAGCAAGACAGCTGTCCCATATGTAGTTAAATGAGATCCGACATGTTAAATAATCTGACGGAACACTCGCCACCATGGCTGGACCTGCACAAAGTTCGGATTTAAATATTATTAAGTCTGTACGAGCTCATGCAAAAACTGAGAAACCTGAACAGCAATCAAACAACTTGGCTGAATTATGGGGAGTAATACAGCATACTTGAAAACATAAAACAAATCACAATCATACACTGATAAAATTATGATAACATAATGAAGAAGTGTGCTGCTGTTTTTATAAAAATAAAATATATTCTGTGATAGTGTACTGTACAAGTTATCCGCTTTTCTTTTATATATTATGCAATAATGTATTGTACTAATGATAAATTAATGATTTAGTTGCAATTACCCATTGTTTGTGACTATGTATGTTCCTTTTCATTATTATTTCAACGCTAGAAACCGGGTTTCGATACCTGTGGTGGGCAGAGTACAGATAGCCCATTGCGTCGCTTTGTGCTTAAGTTCAAACAAAACAAACATTATTATTTCTAATTAACACAAATATTGTTTCACTGGTTTTCAGAATTAGCAGACGTACTATTTGTTGGTTCATTTAATTTTATATGATAAAGAATCTTATTTATAGGTTCTTTTACATTTCTTATAATGAATGATCTTACTTGAACCGGCTGAAACTCCAGATCAGCTTGCGAAGTGACAGAATCCAGAAAAGCCGAGTCTAACGCATTTGTCTGCTGCTTGCCTTTTATGTCTGCAAAGAAAAATCCTTTACCACCCGTTGCCTTGGTTAGAGGTTCTAACTTAGCGGATGCTTTGCTTCCGAAAGCGATAGCATTAACCACAACCTTCTCTTTTTCTAGCATGGGGAGGATTTTGTGGATCAAAGGCTTAACGTTTTCTTCTCCATCTGTGATTAAAATAATAAGTCCACCTTCTGCCAATTCTCCTTGAGATTTTAAAACCTAAAGAAAGGTAACAAGTAACACAACTTTAACACCATAGTTTAAAAAATTCCAATTCCTCATAGAATATCCTGAAGAAATATCGAAAGTTAAGTAAAATTAAAAGTACTTAGGAGTTCTTTGTTTCTTCCAATGGAAATTATGACGTTTAATCGTTACGTAATATTTAGTTGTTTATGCTCAGTGTTTTCGACAAAAGCAGTATAAAATAAAATTGGTTTGGTACCTTGAGGCCGTCTTAAGCCATACTTATTATCCCATGTCACCCTTCAGTTTTGTCACTAAAATCAAAGTATTAAACATGTTTTGGCTTAAGGCAAGTAAAAGTCGATTATTTGGCATAGTAATATGTTTAGTCGTTCCTTACTGAACTCTAATAACCTTTTTAAAAACATTAACCTATATATATATATAAGACACATTGTAGAATACCTAATAGTCTCAGTCTCAACTAAAAATAGATTTTTGCACATGTTTGTAGGGAAATAATTTTGTTGATAACGTTAATTTTCGCTAATTTGTAGGGCGGAATTAGTCTGTAACTCTGTAGATTTCTTGTTCATTTTCCAAAGAGACTGTTCATACAAGAAAGTAAAACAGTTGTAACGGATCAGAGTAAGGGTTAAACATTCACCTTTACAGCCTGTATCAATCCTTGCCCTATTGCTGTACTTCCCCCACTGTCTTTGGTTGGTAGGGCTTTACTAAGCTGAGATCGAGTGGTGTTAGAGATTCTGGTCAGATTATGAAGAACATCTGCCTTGGAACCAAAAGACACTATTCCCAGCTGGTCTCCATCTGGTACTCTGTCTTCTATAAATCTTCTGGCTGCTCTATGAAGGAGCTTGATCGGTTCTCCCTAGAAGTTGTAAGATTCTGTTTTAAAGTTGTAAACAAATTTCACGTGTTTTGAATACGAAGTTAAACAATGATTTTGTTCTTACGGAAATCTTATCTTAGAACACTTTTTTAATATTATGTATGAATATGAAACTAAATAGTGCTACTTCTTAGCATTTACTAAATACTATTTATTATTTAATTTTAGAGAAGCAAGAATGATCGGTAGAGTTATTTTATCGATCAAAAACTTAAAACAATGAAAGAAAAGCATTGCACATTAAACTATAAAATGTCTGATTAATGTTTTTGAACTGGGTAGTTTGAAAATCTTACTTCTTGACGTGAAACCTCGCAATATGTTATGAGAGAGAGAGAAAAAAAATGAGGAATTGAGAATATGTATATATCCTTTATAATATAGTAATATTAGTATATGTGTGCTAGTAAATCACAAGAATATTGATAGCAACATAAGTTTTAATATTTTTGCCAAAGTAGAAAATGATGCAAGTTAAAACTATTATGAATTTCATTGTAATGAGACACAACACACATGTTCATGTTAAATGCCATGCTTCAACATCTAAGGCGTGGCAATATTAGTGTGTTCAAAAATAAGAAAACGAGATATTGACAAAAACATAAAACACAAATAAAGAGTTGTAAATCAATTATGATAGTACATATCAATCCTGATATTAAGTTCGTACATCTTCACATTCCATTTTAATTTACCGGTCATTTATTCTCTCTAATCAAGATTTCTAATACGCTTTTAGTTCTTTTTTAGGACTCGTTCTTGATAAGTGACGTAGAAAATTTCTCTTAATATAAAAAACGCTTTTTGTTTGTTTGAAGTTAAACACAAAGTTACACAGTGGCCTATTTGTATTCTGCTCACCACGGGCATCGAAGCCCAATTTCTAACGTGTGCAACTATAAAAACGCATATACAAAATTGTCGAAAGGTAAATCATTTATACATAACTCCAACATAACAAATAGCCACAATAATAGTAAGAAAATAAGTTCTTAAATTTCGAATTTTCGGATTCTGATCAATGATTTCATTAGATAGTTATTATTAATTTACAAATTCAAATTCATTGAAATGTGACGTTTTTTATAGCGACGTTTCTCGACTAATGTCCAATCATTTCTGATATTTGGATGAAAGCCTAAACAAGAAAACTGATGTTGTTATGTATTTTTTTATTTCTGCACAAATAAAACGTCTAATACTGTATATAAATTAACTTGTCCTCATTGTAATGCAAGGTATATAGAATCCAACACCAGATGGCTTGAAACATGAGTACGGTAATATACACATCTACTGAGTGACAACAAGTCAAGTATGAAGAAGCAGTCATGCATGACTGTAATGTAGAAGTCAGAATCATAGAAGGAAATAACGATGAAAGAAACCTGCTCCTCAATTAAACTAAGTAAATGGCTAAAATTTCAAATTAATGAAATAGGATCGTCCATGAAATTGTGGTATCCGTTCAAAGGGTTATCAAATAGTTACTATGTAAATCTTAAAGATAATGACTTAATTGAATATATAAACTTAGTATTATTAACATAAGTAATCGTTTTACTTACACCCATACTTCCAGAAACATCCAACACTAAGACGTATCGACCCGCAGTTCCTTTCTGTGCCCTTACTAATCGAAATATGGGTTTTGTAGTGATAAATGTAGCCCTTTTACTAAATAAAAACATTCAAGAAAGAAATGAATAAAACAGATTTTTAGCCCAACATAAACACGTGATTAAAATGAATTTACATAAGTCTTTATACATTGTCAAAGTACAGTTGCTAAATATAACGATAATTAAACAAATAAAACACTAAACAGTAATCATGGGGAGAAACTACAGCAAGAAAACACAACGAAAAAAAAAGGTAAAATCAGTAATACGAACATATTAAAATATGTATGATTTAAATGAAGACTGCATGTTGTTCAGTGTTGGAGAGTGCTGTTTGAGGTGGAGGGTTTCTTTGATCAATAATTCCATGTCAGTATTAGACTTGCAGAGGATAGAGAAGTTTGATAGTATAGGTTGATGTCCTGTTTCTTCACTATGTTGGCGTATAGAGAAAACACAGAGGTTATTCAATTTTTGTTTGCGTTTTGATGGAAATTCCCATATGTTCATAGGCTCTGACTTTTAAATGGCGTTTGGTTTTGCCAATATAGGAGGCCTTACAAAACCAAACGTTATATTTAACACGTGATTACTAGCATTTTATAGTTTTCTTCTAAATAAAGGTTCTCATGTATTTTCTAAGAGTCGTATATTATACTTATGAAACTTAACTAAGAGATGGCGTACAGTAGACCGTGCAGCCATAGTTACAGACTACCATAGTTCCAGGTTTGTAAAGAACCTTTTTAATTTTTAAAATAATTTCTATTGTTTTGTTTTCTATTGTTTCTTTGTCAGATATAAAGATCATTTATTGACATAGCGTCACCTCAAGTATCATCAAAGTCTCACCACTAAACTTTTAATAAAACACTTAAAATTATAAAGTAATAGTCCTTAAAATCGTTAAATAGTTACTCTTAAGAATATCTTTCACTCACATAAATTGGGTGATAAAAAACTTGGTGACGTTCTTATTCTTTAACACTTAAGCCGATAAAAAAGAAATTAATGAAAACTGTAACAATAATTAAAACAAGTAAAATAATGCATTTTAGTTTAAAAAAAACAACAACAAAAACAACAACCACAAACACAACAAAAAACGATTCTTCCCAATAAGTCTTAAGTCCTACTTACGCACGTTTGGAGAAATCGGGATGGTTCGTGATGACTGTCCAGGTTGGCTGGTTCCAACACAAAGTGTTATGTTTCGTTGGAGCCCGAGCATTATGAAGTCTTTCTGCTGTGTGATCACAAAATCCTGTGATCTATCAGATGAGAAAAACAGTGTTTCGTTCAATATGTTATAGATAAATGGTGATTTACCTGAATGCATCGAGAGACTAATGGATGAATAGGGAGACTGATGGTTGAATGGAAAGGTCGACAGGTCAATGTAAAGAGAGATAATTGAATACGGAGACTGATGGGTGAATAGAGAGGATGTTCGATGAATAAGGAGACTGATGGCTAAATAGGGACTGATGGATGAACGAAAAGGTCGGCAGATCAATGCAAAGACAGATAAATGAACAGGGAGACTGATGGTTGAATTAGAAGACTGATGGGTGAATAAGAAGACTGATGGATGAATAAGGAGACTGGTGGTTAAATAGGGAGACTGATGGATGAATAAGTAGACTGATGGTTGAAGAGGGAGGCTGATGATGAGTGAAAAGACTGTTGGATGAATGAGAAGAATGTCGTATTTTTTAATTGAAAAGAAGATATATAAAGAGTCTTCAAAAGTGGATAAATAACTATGACCAACTACAAAATAACACTGTTATATTGTTGTAAAACAATGTGAATGTGTCACTTGATAATCACATATATATCAAAACTTTGATATAAAATTGTTTGCATAAACAGGTAAAAGACAAAACCCTACAAAACAAATATTTGTGTTTCATTTGTCTAAAGTATATAAAGATATTTCTATTTGATCAACAATTCCTTCAAAAAGCAAATCACGGAAAAATCCGAGTTCTTTTTGCGCCCTCTCTCTGTTTAATCAAGGAACATCTAATGCTAATTAGCAACAAAGTACTGCGAAAGATGATTTAAAATAGGATAATTTAACATAAATGATTTTCTCGACTAAATGACGTTCAAAGTTTTATGACTTACTTTTGATATTAGTTTATATTTTGCTAAAAAGTTATCGAAACAAAAAAAAGCTGGTTTTATGTACTTAAGGTAAAGTTGTGGCAACTGCATATATTATTGTTGACGTTGTTGTGGCTATTAATGGCGTATACAAACGCTTAATTGTAATAAGACACTTTTTTACAATATACTAATCACTAATCATATTACCTTACATTTCAGATGCTATTCTCCTGTTGTCTTCGGGGGAATTATGGTTTGAATTTTGTGCAAAGCTACACGAGGGCTATCTGCGCTAGCCATCCCTAAGTTAGCAGTGTAAGACTAGAGGGAAGACAGCTAGTCATCATCACCATCCACCGCCAACTCTTGTGGTACTCTTTTACTCACGAATAATGGGATTAACCGTCACATTATAACGCCTCAAAGGCTGAAAGGGCGAGCATGTTTGGTGGAACGGGGATTCGAATCTGCGACCCTCAGACTGCGAGTCAAGCGCCCTAACCACCTGACCATGCTTCCGGGAAGCATAAGGCACCAGAAGCCGAGATTCGATTCTGGGTTTCTATGTACTATCCTCTCGCCTAGTCCCCATTGAAATATGAATCAACTAACTAGTCTAATGGTTTTAAGAGGGAATAGTACTCGGGTTTTCCTGATTTTATGCTAGGTTGACTGAGTATGTTATCAGTTAGGGTGGTGAAGAAGGCGTCTTTTATCTTCCTATTTCTTGCGTGTGGTTCATCTCCAGTTATTTTAGTATCATTCCATTTTATTGTATGGTCTTCTCTGAAATTATGAGACATAGCAGATAGATTGGTATTATAGAGCCTTAATGTCTTATGCTCCTGAATTCTCGCTGTTACTGGTATTTTGGATTCTCTGATTAACTGGTGTCCATATTCACAAGGACTGTTGACAATGATGCTTTTTATTTTCCATTGGATCTTTAGATAGTTTTGTATATAGAACTGCAACCATATTGTGTTATGATTTCTGAATACCATTCTGAATTTATCCTGTTTCTGAATCTTCTGTGTGTTTTCAGAGAGATGTTTGACATAGTGGAATATGTTTATTCTTGGTGTTTCTCGTCTTTGTCAAACTTTCAGAAACGGTTGTCTGTATTGGAATTTTCTCACAAAGCTATGTAAGGACTGTTTGCGCATATTCCTCCCTAATTTTGATCAGAGAAGTCAGAGGGATGTCATTTAGTCAACAAACCAACCCCAAATCTTAGGACATTTGTATTTGACTTAATAGTGGGATTTCACGGTTACTCTTAAAGCGCATCACAGTGCGAAGCACGTTTTTGCATTAATAGGCCGGGCACCTTGAATTCCGAGGCTCACAGACCAAGCACGCCGACCGCTAGACTGTACCTGTCCCTAGGAGGAATTGCACTGGTATGTCTTTTTTCATTTTTCTTTGGATTATCAGTGCAACCAATTTTGTTCATTCTGAAGATTAAACACTTTATGACACCCGTTTCTATACTACTGGGGTGGTTCGAGGTACTTACCAATAGCTGTAGGTTTTCTTTAAGCTCCTGTGGTAGGTATAATACGAGTTATATGTTTTTGTAGCCATAACATCTGGGAAAGAGATGTTGTTATCTTATTACGTTTCTATTGTGAAGCATATCACTTGGTCTTTTCAAATGTTATATGAACTGGGAAATCTTATATTTAGTGTATGTGGTCATACTACGAATGTATTGTTAACATATCTGAGCATGGATCTTAGAGCAATGTTTGGAGGGGGTTATCTCCAAAATGTTTCATGTAGAGATTACTGAGTACTGACGATAGGAGTGAGCCCATAGGTAAGCCTTCGTATTGGAGGTAGTATTTATCTTCTTATTGGAAATACATTGTATTGAAATGGAAATTTTTGGGTTTATTTATTATCACCGACGGTATCAGTTGGGTGTGTTTTTGAAAGTTCTATCATTTCCAAGCTGTTGGCGAAGTATCTTTAGTGTTTCAGTGGCTAGTTCGTTAGTGAACAGGTTAGTTACATCTGTTTAGTGCTTTAATGGCTAGTTCGTTAGTGAACAGGTTAGTTACATCTGTTTAGTGCTTTAATGGCTAGTTCGTTAGTGAACAGGTTAGTTACATCTGTTTAGTGCTTCAAGCATTGGTTCTTTAGTGAACAGGTTATTTACCTCTGTTTCGTGCTACAAGGGTTGGTACTTTAGTGAACGGGTTAGTTACATCTGTTTAGTGCTTGAAGGGTTGGTTCTTTGGTGAACAGGTTAGTTACATCTGTTTAGTGTTTGAAGGGTTGGTTCTTTGGTGAACAGGTTAGTTACATCTGTTTAGTGTTTGAAGGGTTGGTTCTTTGGTGAACAGGTTAGTTACATCTGTTTAGTGTTTGAAGGGTTGGTTCTTTAGTGAACGGATTAAGTTACATCTCTTTAGTTCGTTTGATTCTTTCTGTTTCAGGGTAAGCCGTAAGTTGTGTGAATTGCTATATTTAGTTAGCTTGTTGGGTTAGAACAAAGTTTAGTATTTTACTTAGTGGGCTGGGTCTGTTGAACGTTGTTTACTTCAGTAGGTTACATTGTACTTAGGCTTGTGTCTCTGTTGTGTAAGGAGGCTTTTTGTTTTGAGAATCAATGAATGAATTTAGTTTGTGCGAATTTCTTTGTTACTCGCGTCTGTTGGTATGAATATGAATAGTTGTGCGTATCTTAACACAGTATATGTTGTTTATTGATCTATTTTTAGACAAAGACCGTTAGGGCTGTTTTGTGTTTATTTATACAGTAATATTTGATCTTAGAGTACGGTTTTGATAAGTTTCTGACTTTAGTCTTTCACCTTACGGGATATCTATAAATAGTAAGGCCCAGCCATAGGCTCACACACCTTTCACCACTTCTCTGTAACCTTGTGCATATAATATAACGCCATCAAAGAAACTGCTTTCAGATCTGGGATTCGGTTCAGATTTGTTGATGGTGTATTCGTAATATACCAACACACACTACAGATAGGATTTCAGAAGTTATGAAACATCAGTACAGACGGCACTCAATGATATAATTCATAACAGAAATAGAACAACGTTTATCTATTCCGAAAAACACAATTTCTATGCCAGAGGAGTCTACAGAAAACCCAGGGTTACTGATATCTCAAACCACCCGATAGTGTTAAGATTGTCGTCATAGACTACTTACTCTCCAAAATAAAAACACAAATTGTAATACAGAAGATGCTAAGAAAAAGGTAGAAATCACACAATTTCGATACCCCTTGACAATGGTTGCACTTGTTAATTTATGACGAAAATAGAGAATACGAACACCAAGATTCAGCAGGAAGTAAATTACAGACACAAATAGTCAAATTCAAAAGAGAAGTCAAAAACCATAACACTATACAATTTCAGTTTATATAGCCTTGACCAACTAAATGACCAATGAAGAGCATAAACGCCATTTATAACTTCTCTTGTGACATAAAAAGACCTAGGATAGTCAGAACTTAGGAGCGTAATATATACACAATACTCTACAAAAAGCCCATTATGTCAGAGAATAGGAAGAACATAACCTAAAATGCAATTGATACTGAATATGAACCTTGTAAGGTAACGTTTCTGTTGTGACCTATATGTCTGAGTTATGTAGCAAATATACTTCGATTTTCTTTATCCTGAGTAAATTTCAGTTTATTGTCTCTTTAATTTAATATTTTGCTACTAGTTTCCTGGTAGTTTGTATTTGATTCAGAGTTCACATACTCATTTTTCTTTGCTGTCTTGTGCGATGTTTACCTCAATAAGTTCATTTTGTTGAGAGCTCATACTCACTTACCTCCCCAGTCACGTGATAGAAATATATCACTAATATGCACCTGAGACTTAATCCACAGTGGCGTATTCCAATATTAGTTAGTAACTTGCACCTAGTTCAAAAATTGCACTACCTCACCAAATTTGCTATGTACCAAGTGTACGCCAGTACGTTACCCCAGGCTTGCATACCACAAATTAGCTTAGATCCAATTTCGTGTATGAGGTGTACGTCAGTACGTTACACCAGGTTCAAGGTCTGCCAATTAACTTATCTCTATTACGTGTCATATATTAGATCAATCAACATCATATGAAGTATTAAGTTAAAACAGTAGCAAAAACAAGCTATAATGGAGTGTGAATTTTTTTTTTTGAAATGCAGAAGGTTAATCATATTTTACAAAAAATGATTGTTATGTGCCAATACAATAACGTGTTGCTACAAATGTGAGTTGTGGTGTCACCAGCGACATGTTCAGCACCTTATATATTTGGTCCACAGCGAATATTTGACCCTTCGACTGTGCAATGACTGTAAGAATACATTAAAGTCCTTTCTGAAAATGGCGTTTTCTGGAGCAAGGTTTTATAAACAACGTAAAATCATAAGACATAACATTTTGAAGAAGGAAGCATTCAATGTTCTTTGTGGAAGAGTTTGTTTGTTTGTTTGTAATTAAGCACAAAGCTACACAAAGGGCTATCTGTGCTCTGCTCACCACGGGTATCGAAACCCGGTTTCTAGCGTTGTAAGTCCGCAGACATACCGCTGTGCCACTGGGGGGCTTGTGGAAGAGATATAAGTAAAATAACAAAGATTTTACAACAACCAGTTCCAAAATCATACCTTGAACCATCCAGAGCATTACCTACCTTTATCTAACAACTGAAAACTATAGTTATGAAAAAGAACCTTTCGACCCCAAATGTCATTGTGGTGAAGCTGGCATATCTCCTATTTCTGTTTTCCAGTATTTAAAGTTTAAAAAGTATCATCCAGAAATTAACGACTGTTTTCATGTGAAAGGTGCATAAGTAAACTGAAGTCACGGCAATTCTATCAGACAGTATATATAAGTTTTTGTTTGTTTCTTTTTAAGCACAAAGTTACATAATGAGCTATTTACGTTATACCCATCTCGGATTACGAACCTCGATTGTTAGCAGTATAAGCCCTCAAGCTTTCCACTGAGTCACCGGGGGACACAAAATAAAGTTATATGGTAGCCAGTAACACTTAAATTTGACAAAGTAGACTTACGGATGGAATGTAAGGCAGATACATGACTGATGCTTTCGCATCCTCGTTCTGCACGTTTGGAATAAATCGACAATCCTCACTGACTGTTCCATCTGCTGTAATTGAACAAGGTCCGCCATCCAACGCCTCGATCCATCCTGTAATTCTATGTATGCAGCTTGTTGGAACAATCTGTTTATCATGAAAATAAGTTAAATATCTATTTATTAGTGGAAGAAAATGTCATTAAAATTTACAAATACATATTTTTTGGTGCACTGCAGTCTGATAACTAACTACGCAACAATATATTCTATAACCATCCTTGTGTATAGATTTCATAAAATAAGTAAGAACATTGAACTTTTTAAAATGTACAGTAATTTATTGTATAAGTTAAAAGTAAAATATACAATTAAACACTCAAAGTTTTTAATTGTGTAGAGTTTTTAGTTGTATATTTTTCTTTTAATTTATACAATTAATTATTGTGCATTTTTAAACATTGAATGTTCTTACTTATTTTATGTAACTACACAACTTTAAAACATCTCATGCTTTCATTTGTTCTAAATAAGTTAACATTTTAGATTTATTAGAAGTTATATATTGAAAAAGTGCTTTGAAAGATAAGTAACACATATACTTAGTGGTACATACTAATGGTAGAAATACTAAAATAATATAATTCAAAACAGGCATTTCCTTATTGTGTGATTCATTTTAAATAACGGGTTTTAATAAGGGGTATGAGATACTCAATGTAACAAACATAGGTAGAGTAGAAAGTAGGGTAAGACGGCCACCTTAACTTTGAAAGCGGTTTTCGCCAATTAAAATAAATCTCATAAAAATGCAAAATGATTTAAAATGAGCACTTATTTATTATAAATGTCCTTTCTGGTTAAAATAAACACTGTTTTTTGTTTGAAGTTAAGCACAAAGCTCACAATGCTAATACCGTAGCATATAAACGCCTTTAATTAAATGGTCTACACAAGTGGAAAATTTTATAATTAAAAATACTTTAAATAATGTAGTTTCTTTTAAAGAATTAACTGTATATAAAAATTCATTGAAGCAACTATTGTACTTTGATATATAGTTTTAGGAAATAGAAATGCATATAGTAGTTGTATTACATAAATATATTTTAAATTAAATCCTGAAAGTGGTAGAATTAGTAACAACTATAGGCTCAATAAAGGGGAGGCACCACTCATAGAGCAGACTTTGCAACTAGCCCTCTAGTGGCAGGCATGTGAACCTACGTATTATATTACATTATACTTCAGTTTCAGACCATATACTGCTATATAAGACCTGTAGTAAAGTTTTATTTATTTGTTTTGAATTTCGTGCAAAACTACTCGATTTCTATCTAGCGAAATGAGGGTCCAAGGGGGGCGCGGAAGAGGCCTATACAACGTCCGTTTTTCCCCAAATGTCACCAAGAGAAAATGTCTAATGCACACTTTTTAGGGGAGGGGTGCGAGGGCCAGGAAAGGCTAGGAACCACTGAGATAGACTAATGGGAAGACAGCTAGTTAATATCACCCACCGCCAACCCTTGGGCCACTCTTTATCAATGAATAATGGGATTGACTGTCACGTTATAATGTCCTCAAGCTGGAAGGGCTTACGTTGTTCAATAACCTGAACTTATTATTAATTAGGCCTCCGCTATATCTTTAGCTTTTGGAAACAGATTTTAAATAATACGGCGTGATTAAATCAGAGATTCGTTGAGGACTATCCAAAGGTTTCTGCTTTGTGTTATAGTTTTCATTACAATATAACATTTATGTTTCCTTACAATCATTCTCACAGTATAATATGCATGACGTTCTGCTTCGGTAAAACTGTAACTACATCATTAATGTGCTGTAACTACATTATTAAGGTGCTGTAATTACATTATTAAGGTGCTGTAACTACATCATTTAAGGTGCTGTAACTACATCATTAAGGTGCTGTAACTACATCATTTAAGGTGTTGTAACTACATCATTAAGGTGCTGTAACTACATCATTTAAGGTGTTGTAACTACATCATTAAGGTGCTGTAACTACATCATTTAAGGTGTTGTAACTACATCATTAAGGTGCTGTAACTACATCATTTAAGGTGCTGTAACTACATCATTAAGGTGCTGTAACTACATCATTTAAGGTGCTGTAACTACATCATTTAAGGTGCTGTAACTACATCATTAAGGTGCTGTAACCACATTATTAGTGCCTGTAAAATGCTTCATAAATCATTCTAATTGACCAAAAATAGCTGGTGCACAATAATTATAATCAGTCCTTTTTAGTAGTAGATCTTGGTGATATGTCCCCTTATTATAGACTTCCTAAAATATGCCGATGTCATTAACAAATATGTGTTTATGTAACACGCATAATCAGTCATACTAAATTTATATAATTGTTCCAATTCTTGCTGAAATCACAATTTATTTCAAGATTAGTGTAGAGTAGTTTTTTTTTAAATACTAAAAGTGCTTGTCATTTTCACACACAACTGGTTGGAGTGAAATAAATAAACCAAGAAAATGACATGACGCAGGATTAGACATCACCCGTTTCACTTTATTTCAGTCGATTACACCTGAATAAAGAAGCATGTCTACAGATATTACTGTACTACCTAAACTTTCATTTCTACAATCTAAAGATAGTGTTTGTTTACCTTGCCATTTTCTAGATAGAATGCTGGGTAGTTCGGATCTCCGGGTAAGCCATATTCGTCGAAAACGCCATATCTGAGATGGGCCCATTCATGTACAATATGTCTTTCTTTAAACACAAATAAATAGTTGTAGTTAAAGACAAATTTTCTATATTTTCAATTGTTATTTATTCATATTACAATTTGTTTTACATTATCATCTAAATTATATTTAAGACATATCAATCAAAGTATTTGATACATTGGTATATTGATATACTACTGAGCATTATGCAGAGAATTATTATTTATTGATATTAAAGTTTGTTCGACATTACCTTCTAACTTATGCTTAATACACATTAAAGTGTTATATATATTGCATATTGATATACTATGGATCATTATACAGAGATATTCAGAGGTGCAGTATTCCCTGCTAAAATTTGTCAGACATGTGTAAGTAGTCTCAAATAATCAGTGACGCTTTTGTTTTCTTTAATTAAATTGGACTCACAACAAAAAGAAATTAGGTTTTGAATAAGAGAACTTTACCCTAATGGTGACGTTATTGGTAATGATTTTAAATATTTGTTCCGCAATTGTCCTCTGAAACTGTTCATCAAATATATATATCTTTATATTTGTCTTTGAACGTTTATGGTCAGAGCCAAATATTAAGAATGATAACACATAGAGTAATGCAGGATTACATGCCTAGGACATCTAGCACTCTTCTACTTGGACGTTTGAAAAAAGAAAGAAATCTAGAGCGCCTTCTGTATAACTTGTGAGGATAGCCAAAGTTTACATTCTCGGAGACAGAAAAACAACCTACGAGTTGATTCCTTCACTCTTCAAGTGTTTTTTTTTTTCCTCTAAGATATGTACTTGGAGTTGAAGTAATAGATAAAGTATTATATTACCTTTGCAACTACAGCAACCCAAATCTATATAATTCCCAGACATTAAAGACTCCTTTCATTTCTTTGATGATTGAAAAGACATTTACAGGATACGACTTTGATTTCACATCTACTCTTGTAAAAATCTTGAGTTGTGTTTATTATATTACCGAAAAATCTTTCTTTTTCTTGTACAAAAGGTGTCTGAAAGTATTTGAAAAGTTATTCCTATCTGTTTATGTTAAAGTTATTCATAAGTTTTTTTCAAAGTATATCATGTTCCAAGCAAGGCATAAGTTAATGTGTACTATATTGGATCACATCGAACGTCTATATATTTCAAGAAGAAAGAATGGTAAACTTTGAGTTTATTTCTCTATACTGTTAGAAATAAACTTAGCCACGTCTGAAAACCTTAGATTGTGACTGTTTATGACTTAGGTAATTTTTATCGTTCTATGAGAGATAACTAAGAAGATCGATTTCATCTTGTTTGGTCCAGCATATTTTAAGTATAAAAGCGTAACAAAATACAAACTCTACGTATGTAAATTTTGTTTAATAGTCCATTGGTTACATGCATAGATATTTCAAAAACACTTGTAGGGCTTACACTTTGTAAGTAACTATGTTATTTTTAAAAATGGGTTTTCCTTGAAACACATCTTGTGGTACGTAACGAATAGGCTGGCGAAGTATGATCTGTTGATCTGTAGTTTATTTGGTACTAGCAGAGACCAGCAAAACATTTACGGTCAAATTAGTAGTTTTATTGCAACAGTACTTCTTTAAATGCAGGATTTCTAGAGTAATACAAAATAATTCTAATCGCAGACACGGACATTTTAAGTTCATTTGTTTTAGGCTTAACATTAGTTAAGCCTTTCTTAAGCACGGCTTATATTCGATAAAGAGATAAATTAATGCTGTAACTTGTGTACGTTTTTTGCTTTAGTTTAATTAGAGCTAAACTTTATCGTACTTAATATTATCACTAAATAAGCTCATGTTATTCTACGACCTAACGTTAGACCTTTTAAAAACTTTGATAAGTTTGAATATGTTGTTGTAAAAAATGTCGGTTTATGTTTATTTACATCCGCTTTTTTCTTAACATTTAGAGAGTAAGGTGCGCACGCATGTTCACGACAGACAAAAAAACTGATTGTCATATAATATCACACAAACTATAGCTCAGCGTGTCTTGCACGCCAGGCATTATACATTGTCAAAATATAACGTCTCATAAATGGTTTATTTTGGAGTCCTAATACTTTTTTTTAAAAGACAATTACCATTTTATAATTAAATTAGTTTAACACTTATATTTCGGCAGTGCATATTTTCGCGATAAAACAAACTGGTTGTTCCTTATCTGATAAGGTGAGCGTTGCTCGGTACTTAGTGTGCCTAGATTGTGAATCCGAGGATTTACGGTTCGTGTCCTTTTGCTAAAAAATACAGTTAAGGCGTGGATGCACTATAAAATCCAGCTATTTTGGTCAGACTAGAGTAGCCCAAGATTTGGCGGCTGGTGTTCAAGTCTACTAGTTCGAAATAATCAGACTAGAGTAGTCCAAGATTTGGCGGCTGGTGTTCAAGTCTACTAGTTCGAAATAATCAGACTAGAGTAGCCCAAGATTTGGCGGCTGGTGTTCAAGTCTACTAGTTCGAAATAATTAGACTAGAGTAGTCCAAGATTTGGCGGCTGGTGTTCAAGTCTACTAGTTCGAAATAATCAAATTAGAGTAGTCCAAGATTTGGCGGTTGGTGCTCAAGTCTACTAGTTCGAAATAATCAGACTAGAGTAGTCCAAGATTTGGCGGCTGGTGTTCAAGTCTACTAGTTCGAAATAATCAGACTAGAGTAGTCCAAGATTTGGCGGCTGGTGTTCAAGTCTACTAGTTCGAAACAATGATAAAAAAAATCTAAAAATCTTACCTAATTAAGTGCATGCCCAATTTCACCATCTTTGGTTAATATGTTACATTATTAAAGATCTAAAAGAGTGAAACACATAAGCGATACGCATATTTGAGTGAAGATACGTCGTTTCACATGGAACACTCCGAACTTAAATATATATTTAAAAAAAGGTATAACCTGAGATCCTTAGGTATACTATAGTGGATTATTTATAGTTCTATGTTTGATTTACAAATGTTCAATAAAGTGCAACAGAAACGTTTCAATGCCTTAAAATGCTTAAACAGAAAGAAAGAAACATAATTATTTTCCTTTAATTAGACACTAAATATTGAATCATGGTTAGTAGAACTGATGTTGGAAATGTACACAAATGCATTTTTATGAGCATTGTTTTCCTCACTAGAAACAATATAAGAAAACATAAGAAACAAATGCAGAATCACACCCACTTCATCATGTTTTATAAAGTCAAAAAATTACTGCAACAGAAGAATTATCATGGAAAGAAGGAAAGAACATAGATGTTCATGAGCAGTTGGTTTACTTACCTGCCGGTCCATAATTGTCAGCAGTCTCACCATGTAGTTCTTTCACAAAATGTGGAGTGATATGAATGTACTGTCCATGCTCCCCACAACCTCCTGGTTGGAGGGTATAAGGGTCGTTTTCATGGTATGGATTGGGGTGGTCAATTCGCACATCGGCAGAGGGAAAGTAATTTTTCAAGACATCTTCATACTGGGGTTTGTTTTCCCATGTCGATGGTATGGCTATGATTATTTCCTTGAAGTAAGCTTGTCCGTTGGTGGTTGTATTTAGGTAGCTTGATGCTTTAGTGAAGAGTTCCTGGAGTGAGTAAAAATGTGAAATGCTTCTGAAAGTTACTTCTGAACGTAAACATGTTATTAATTTGGATTAGAAACCTACATGGTCTGTAAAATACAAATTTATCTAACTATTCACATTTTCATGAATTGAAACGAACTGGTTTATATCATGCAAATTAAAGCTTACCGAAATAATGTAATAAGGCTCTGGAAACTAAGTTAGGCGTTTATAGGTCCAGAAAAAAAAAAGAAGAAGAAGCGGAATAGTCCTTACTTTTAAGTTAGTTAGTAGCTTCTCATCCTCGGGAACGTCTTTGTGAATGGCAACAACAATATTTTTGTAACCACCGTTCTCTAACGATATCACCGCCAAGGATTGTAAGGCGAATTGGATAAATAGGAGGAACAAAAGTATCTCTTCCTTGTGTTGCATTTCTTACGTCTAAAGGAGTAATTTAAAAACAATTACCAATGTATGGTCAACAACTGTTTATTTAATAAATCATACAACAAACGTCGTTTTGAATCATGTTCTACAGTGATTTGAAAAATCCTCTATAACGAAAATAATTAAATTAGCTTAACATTTTGTTACTCCTGGGTCAACTTAGAGCTCACAACCCCAAGCGGGCAGCAGATGTGTAGAATACTTTTATCTATATTTAAGACGCCATAGTCCGTGCTGTCACGTCAAAAGCATCATTCTATGTTGGTCATTTGAAACTTGCGTTAGTTTATACTAAATGAGTAAAGGAACGACTGTTGCAAGAGAGTTAACGTATTGTTTATATTTCTGTGGATTATATTAATAAAGATATAGTGCACCGATTTTGTTTGTTGGAGTAGACTAGATAATATTAATACTAGAATGTGAACAAAACAGCATGCGGTAAATCCTCTCCGCTTCCCGCGATCTTTGACCCGTGTAATCCTCGCAGAGACGTGCAGCAAGCAAACACCGAGTAACACTCTAGACACTAGATACATTGTTTCTCAATTTGTTCACAAAAACTACCAATGAACAGATAATTACCTGATGAAGTTGATGAAGTACCGGTGACTGTCACTCGACAAGCTCGAGAAACGACGAACGCAGATTTCTGCTTATTTCCTTTAATCTCCAACGCAACAGAAACAGGAAGATGAGCCCATTTCTAGGAAGTTACTCTATCTCAAGTAAACGCTGAAGTTATTCCGTTTTTCCTTGGCACCATATAGGTATCATATGGCTAAAGTTAATAAGTAAACACTGGAGTTCTTCAGTTTTCCTTAGCACCATATAGGTATCGTATGGCTAAAGTTAATGTAAGTTAGATAAAAGGATTTCCATGGATTTAGTATCGTTTGTATGAAACTGCTCTGAGCTTCCAAGCCTCCTATACTACACGTCCCAGAGACGGTGACTAGATCTATCAAAAGTTAGGTACGTTAAGGTGGTGTATGGTTGACATCAGATAGGTTTATGGTTGATATCAGATAGGTTTATGGTTGATATCAGGGAGGCTTATATTTGACATCAGAGGGATTGATGGTTGACATCAAAAACGAGCTTGTTATTTATTTCTGTTAATTTCTTCTATACTTCGAAGGCACCAGATCAGCTGCTTGTATACTCTAATATAATATCAATTCGCTGCGTTAGCAACATGATATTTTGTTTCAGAATAGGTCAAAATGGGCTTTAACGACATTTTCTTATTGTTGGAGAATCTAACAAATTCACATCATTCTTTAACGACATTTTCTTATTGTTGGGGAATCTAACAAATTCACATCATTCTTTAACGACATTTCCTTATTGTTGGAAAATCTAACAAATTCACATCATTCTTTAACGACATTTTCTTATTGTTAGGGAATCTAACAAATTCACATCATTCTTTAACGACATTTCCTTATTGTTGGAGAATCTAACAAATTCACATCATTCTTTAACGACATTTTCTTATTGTTGGGGAATCTAACAAATTCACATCATTCTTTAACGACATTTTCTTATTGTTGGGGAAGCTAATAAATTCACATCATTCTTTAGTGACATTTCTTTATTGTTGGAAAATCAAACAAATTCACATCATTTTATAAAATTCTAAACTGTTTGAAAATATCTAAAAATGACATTTTAAAGCTCTGTCAGGGATACATACTTTTTCCAAATCCTCTTGAAAAGATTAATGAATAATTGTTGTATTTCTAAGATTCTTTTCTTGCTGTGCTTGTTGTAACTTTATTCGCTCTGTTGAGTTTAGTTTGATTTAAGGATGAGGGTCAACAGTTTTCTCTTAGCGTTAGATGTATTGAACAAGTGGAAAAAATATTTAAAAACCTGAAAGAGTAAGAATGGGTGCACACAAAAAATGAGGAAACAAAGTAGAAATGGACATGGTGTAATAAAACTTTCTCTGTACAACCTCACAAGGGGGCGTGCCTAACATCCTGTCCATGCTTACTGCATACAATAAACCAGGTGGACTAAACTTATCAAACTTATTCTATGCTTACAATGGAATGACTAGAGTTTTCTATGAATCGTTTTATTGGAGGCAATATATGTACTGTAAAGTGTGTTTATACGACACCAGAAGAATCAAATATTCGTGTGGACCCATAACTTGTATGCATTTTTTTCCTTATAACTTGCCTTTCCTTTCGCAATTGCATGAGAAAGCAACAGGATTTCGTACAGGTATATAGGTGGATTAAAATACAAAGATAAAAAATCCTAAGAGGTTTCTGTGTATCGACGTCATGGATTCGTTACTGTCTATACAATTAGAAGAATCGTAGACACACTTTTATATGTACCCATACGTTGTTTAATATAATGAACACAGAAAAACGAAGTAGACGTGGACTAGGTGTTGAACACGCCCCCTGGTGAAGTTGTACAGAGGAAGATTTACTACACCATGCACATTCCTACCTGTTTCCTCACTTTTTTGGTGAACTAATTCATACACATTTTTTACAATCTTTTTTTCCACTTGTTCAAGCACTTTTTAGTATAGAAGATGGCATGATCTTATGCATTATTCATTCATTTGTGTTGATATCCTGTATGTATATTATTAGTGTGGGTGTGCACCATAATATTATGGTATGTGCAAATAATGGTGTATGTGTGTGTGGTGTGTATTCTCTTCACTTATTGTGTGTGTACACATTGTGACTGTTGTATGTGTACTGTACATGTGATGGCACACGCACTATAGTGTGCAGTGTCATTTGGGTGATATAGTGTGAGTTGTGGTTGTGTGCATATACCAAGGGTTGATAAATAAATAAATTTAATTAACTACTTCACGGTGGCACTAATAAGTGGTCCCTGTGCTACTGTTCTATTCGGTGCACTTATAACTATGGTGCGTCTGTTTGTTACACAGCTAGAAGGGTTCAACAATATCAGTTAGACAGTGAGATTGAGAAATTTATGGTTTGTCAATTTTTTTTGTATCTGCTCTGTTGACTTTCTCGAGTGGTTCTATGACTTGTAATTGATTATGTTTGTTCATCATTTAAGGGTGTCTCTCAAATACCTTTGAAGATTCATTATTTGGTTGTTATAGGTGTATGAGTAAATAGTTTGTAATGCATGTATTGTGTGTCCGCCACATTCCTACTATAAGTACTACCGTACTTATGATATTTACACGAATCTAGGTCATACTTAATCTCCTTGACATTTTGTAGGCCTGGAGCTGGAATCGTGCTGCAATCAGTAAATTTGTCGCTTCAGATGACGACATCAAGCCTTCTGCGTGAATAAATTAATGCAGCAAATACCTCGAGTTCATGAGTACTGTACACATGTAGTTGTGTAATTGAAAGTTTTGTTTTTTTCTGATGTGATATTCAGCTTAATAGAGACGTTTACATTATTTGTACATGTCGTTCAGCTATTATGACCAATAGATACCGAAGTGTAAAACTAAGTTAATTACACTATAGCAATATTTCCACAGTAATTTCGACTTTTAGAACAAACATGCAAAAAATAAGACTTAAAATTAAAACACGATTTAAGACTAGTTAAAGTCGTGACTTCTAAAACAAAATCTTTTTCTTATGGCAGACATTTTTAAAATCAGTTTGTAAACATCTCACTTATAATGTAGAAAATATCAGGATGAAAATATAAATCTAGAGTACTTAAAATAAACTTGATCCACGTTTTCATAAATATATCTATCTGTGCATTATAATAACGCTTGTTTGTTTGTCTTAAGTCAACTTGCAGGGAATCGAACCCCGGATTTGAGTATTGAAAGTCTGCAAACATACCGCTGGGGACATTATGCTAACGTCTTTTTGCGTGAAATGTATTTTACGTTCTGTAAGAGCTTATAATGTATTTTCAGTATTGTTTCAAAATGTAACCTTTTCAATATGTTTTTTATCGGCTTTCTTCTATGTGTGTTTTTTAGTCGTATGACAGAAAAAAAAACTTGTTTATATGCACATCTAAATCCCACACGTGTATTAGGTGATTAAGCAAAACAAATAGTCCAGACGTTTTTTAAAAACAAAAAAAACAACAAAACTACTCATCGAATAAAATTATTTAAAATCGTTTGTTGATAGTTTTTGGAATAATTTTATCAAAATTAACACAATGAACCACAATATTAATTTCTATCTTAATACGTCTTATCACCGATAGACTTCCACGTGAGAATTACGAGTCAATTTTACAGTTAAACAGGAAATCCTTAATGAAATCAGAATTTCATTGCGCTCTTAACTCATTACTAAAATGAACATGATCAAGTTATAACAATATATCATTGACCAAAGTTTCTTAGTCTGTCCACAATGTTCTTCTACATTGATAAAAAAGTTAAAATGTGAAACAATATGTTTTTCAATACGAGAGCAACTTTTGGCGAAGGAAGCGCCCCCCCCCTCTTACTTTTCAATCTCTCCCAGTAAAAATCCAGGAAAATTACTTTCAGGAGAATGAATAAAATTTAACCAAGAACCCAAGATCTTCCAGGGCCCTAAGGCGATCCCTGGATCCCAGCCGTGATGGGTGCACCTGTAGCCCACATTCCTTCGCTGTGCTCGGTCAAATAAACATTTGGCCCCCATTTTTAATTTGCCTCCTACATCCCTTGTCTGTAACACTGTCTTTCTGTACGAAAAATGGTGAAAATTGTATGTTAGATATTTTATAACTTATATAATTATTTTGGTAGTTCAGTATTATTCAAAAGCAACAGTAACATTGAGAATTATGTAAATTTTTCAAAGAAGGATCTTTAATAAATTGTCAAATATGCTATTTATGGTTATAAATATTGGGCACATAAACAGAGACAAATATATCAAAAGTACTATGACGAGAAAACCATACCATTAGATGTGTGTTTTTTTTTCTCAGTTTCCGCACTTCAACCTTGAGTTTATTTTGAACAGTTACCAAGAAGTGGGTGTATATTTTCCTGAGCCTAAGTAGGAAGGCACGTGTTTACTGACAGGAAGATACTTTTAAATGTCATATGACGTCTTTATAACAGCTGTATATTAGTCATATGCATAACAGTAGTTTATTCATACTAACAAATGTGCAGTGAGACAGTTACTGGGACGCTGATGAACAAATTATAATGAATTTTTCTTTTAATTCGTGCGAAACAACACCAACAACAACAAAACAAAAACGATACAGTTGACACAAAAGTGTTTGCACGCTATTCTCGTTTTTTTGTTTTTTTTTACAAAATAAAATTATAATAAATATTCAACTCTGACTGATTCGTGAAACATAATACAATTGAAACACTCGATGGTAGTAAGTCCTTTGATTTTTTGAATAGAATATTTATTAGAACCCCCCCCCCACATAATTGAAACTCAAATTTAGCCTGATTTACACATACAGAACTATGAATAATCAACAATATGAAAGATAGAAATTAATGATTTAGCCTTAAGATAAAATTAATTAAGGTCCTCTAATATAATATGTCAGATTGGTGGAGCAGCTCATCAAACATCCATGGTTCATAAATTTTCCTTATGAATTGACTATGTCTACATGCATAAATATTGCAATACATATATGAACAAAAACCACTCCATGCTTAATCGCATATTGAAAATGAGTTTTGCGAGTCCGTATAAAACTGTGATAAGTTTAGTACTGGATTCTTTTTTGTTTTATGCTACCTAGTCGAACTTTCTGTAATTTATTCATTATGAAGCAATGAGTATATTCTTTTTTTTAATTTAAATAGATTGATAGATATAGATAAGATAATTGAAATGGCTGAATCATTATGTTTCTAAACATATTTGGTCCGAAAAAAGCATAATAATTTTCCCATTCAAACGTCGCATATTTGTTAATGCAAGGCGATGAAAAAGTGGTCACTTTTCAAACTTTCTTGTGATTATCTGAAAAACTTAAAGGAAGACTAAGAAATATCAGAATTTGGTACTATTAATACTTTATATTTTACCCTTTCATAAACATTATGAAATATACATGGTGTTCAAGAAATTTGGAAATATTTTTGAAAAACCATACCTGGAAAGCATGCTACAACAGCTAGTTCATAAAAACCTGTACCAGCTTGATCTCGTTTCTGTGTCTGTCCCTGGGGTGGGTTAAGCTCGTTTCAAATAGTGATACCTGTACAAGTTGAGGTTCCTATTTATGCTATGAATATGAAATCTCTCAGTCCGAAAATATTTTTATTTTAAATAAAAATAATGATTTGTTTGTTCACTTGTGTATTTGTACTTCCTTTGTTGTTCCGTATTTAAAATATCACCTTGAATAACATTTCCTCACCTACAAAACGCAGGATATCAATAAATCTGAATACCACAACAACATTCATTGGTAGCTTTATCATTATTCTAGATGATTAATTTAAAGCTGGAAGTGTTATGCTGAACATTAACAAATCAGATTAAACACAAAATAGAATTAAAGCACATACAGTTATTCATTAGATGTCTAATACTATTATATTTAAGAATATTTTTTCAGAGCAAAGCCACGTTTGGTTATCTGCTGTGTCCACAACAGTGAATCGAACCTTGAATTTTAGCTTTATGAGTTTGTAAACTTACCGTTGTCCTATTGAGGGACATTTAAGAATATATATATATTGATATTTCTACCCAATGAAGAAATGAGACATGGTCGTACATGGAAGATCAAATAAGTGAAAATAATATATATATATATATATATATATTGATATTTCTACCCAATGAAGGAATGGGACATGGTTGTACATGGAAGATGAAATAAGTGAAAATAATATATATATATATATATATATATTGATATTTCTACCCAATGAAGGAATGGGACATGGTTGTACATGGAAGATAAAATAAGTGACAATAATATATATATATATATTGATTGATATTTCTGCCCAATGGAGCAATGAGACATGGTCGTACATGGAAGATAAAATAAGTGAAAATAATATATATATTGATATTTCTACCCAATGAAGGAATGGGACATGGTTGTACATGGAAGGTAAAATAAGTGACAATAATATATATATATTGATATTTCTACCCAATGAAGGAATGGGACATGGTTGTACATGGAAGATAAAATAAGTGAAAATAATATATATATATATATTGATATTTCTACCCAATCAAGCAATGAGACATGGCCGTAAACGGAAGACAAAAAAATTAACATTGCACTTGTTAAACTGTAAGAATTCTGTTTATTTTTTAGCACAAAGTTCCAGAATGGGCTATCTGTGCTCTGTCTACCGCAGGAAATCTTACCTCGAACTTTAGAAGTCCGCTTATCGTTGATCCACAGGGGGACAGCATCATTTTGTATTTCTTTACGAGTTTTTCCGAGATGTACGTGCTCTAAACATTTTGACATATTGATTAATTATTAACTCTGAAGCGAAATTAATGGCCTGGTGATTAGGGAGCTCGACTCGCGGGTTCGAATTCCTGTCACCAAACATGCTCGCCCTTTCAGCCGTGGTGGCGTTATAATGACGGCCAATCCCACTATTCGTTTGTAACGGAGTAGTAAAAAGTTGGTGGTGAACGGTGTTGACTAGCTGTCTTCCCTCTAGTGTAAATTAAGGATGGCTAGCGCAGATTGTCCTCGAGTAGCTTTGAGCGAAATGCCAAACAAACTAACCCAAAATTAATTGTTTCTAGTTGGGTCAGTCATGTTTTTAAGAGGCTTAAGTATATTTCATTCAACAATTTCGTGGTGTGTATTTTTTGTTTTGTTTATAAGCTGTTCATCAAACTTCATTGTTGTAATGTTATTATCAAAATAGATAATACTGGTGAAGCTACAACTTAAGTTAAGCTGTGGTAAATAAATGAGTTTTTATCAGATCAGCATCTCGTCTCTGTATTTTCACTGTAATTACTTATAATTATTCTACATCGCTAACTGTGTTGTATTTGAGGATTCAACATTATTAATCAATTTCCAGCTTTTACTCTAAGAAAATAACTCTATGTCTATATTTTTATCTAGCCGAGAATTCATAAAAAAGTCATCAACAGTCTCTCAAGGTCAGTGACTATTCTTTGAAAGAGAGACTTAAATTACTCACCCCAGATAACAAAAACCTGATCACTTTGGTCGATAACACAGGAATCAATTTTAGGGTGTTTGTAACTTGGTTGTTAGCACGATAATCAGTTCGCAACGTGCCTTAATATGGTCGATGACGTGAGAATCAGTTATCAAGTAGCTACAACATTGTTGCAATCAATTCTTCAGTTTTCAATTGGTCATAACATGGTTGTTAGTCTGAAGATAGGTTCTCAGATAGTCGTAACATTGTCGATAGTACAAGAATTGGTTTTGGATTCTTCGTAACATGTGTTCTATTCCATAATATAAACTGACCCTTACTTTCCTAACAACCTGAAAATAGACGAAATGCCCGAGCTAAGTGGCAACTTGGATAATCTCCAACTCCATGACGTAAGAAAACGAAGAATGAGTACCAGTAAATTTGGTATAAGACTTTTCTACAGATATTGGTCTCAGATTCCACTCTGTTTTGCATGTAAGGATTTCTTCATTTTTTTTAACTATTATGATAGCGCTCGCGCAAAATGTCTGGAGAAAACTATATGTGTTTATATGAAAATACGTAAGGAATAATCGAAGTGGAAAGAAAATCATTGATACTTAAGTAATCAAAAGTAGAAAGAACCATAAGAAAAATTAACACATTAATTTATTAGATTCTACATTTCGCCTTCAAAAGGGTGCACACGAACGCAAGAGTAATTGTCAAACTTTCAAAATAATATGAAAAGTAAACAATCAATAAACCTCAACAATATAGTAATTGCCTGTCTTTATAACAATATTAAACTAGTTACAACAGTTTTATAACATTAATAATTATGATTGCACAATCATCTTTTTTTTTAAAGCAGAATCCAAAGTTGTAAACTATACAGTATAATACTTATCATAGTAATTGGTTCTACAAAGTCAATGTGTTATCAGTACTGTTATATTATTTTTATTACAGCAAACTCTATAAGTTTTGTATTATATATCGAAATTCTTATCTATTAGAGTACGTTTGAGGTTAATTTTATACATATCAACGAATCTAATCTTTACACAAAAAGTACTGTGCAAGTAGATTAGGCCTTGAAATGACCATGTACATTTTTTAAAAATGTAAACAAGCAAATTACCCATAAACAGTGGCCAAAGTGTATTATAAAGTTAGATATAAGATAAAGTTGGTTGGAGTTGAAAGAATGTGAGGAATCAGCCGGCTTATGGTCAGTTTCTAAGGAATTAGGGGACTGATTACAATACTCTCAGTCATTATAAAATGATTCATGTAAGTGACCACTTTTATAAGTTCAACTGGTATGAATACTTCAAGAACCTCTTTGTTATGAAACGTTATAATCCGATATACGGGAAACATGTACAAGGTCTGAAACAATAAGTAAATTTTTAAACGAGACGGGAATCGCAACAGATGATTTTCTTAATCTTGAGTTTAATGAAAATGCAGGAAGTGCGAATGATGTTCGCTAAGTTATCATGGTAATGCTTGCAACTAGACGCCGAGGTAATTCCTGTCTTATATGGTCAGGAAGGTAATTCCTGTTTTATATGGTGAGGAAGGTAATTCCTGTTTTATATGGCGAGGAAGGTAATTCCTGTTTTATATGGCGAGGAAGGTAATTCCTGTTTTATATGGCGAGGAAGGTAATTACTGTTTTACCGGGAAAAGTGGTAACATCATACTATAAGATTTGAATCGCAGCTGAGTTAAAATGTGATGTGGTAAAATCAGTTATTTTAGAGATGTATGAGTTAAGTGCAACGACTTATCACAGGAAGTGCAGAGAGTTAGAAAAATGGCAACAAGACATTTAAAGAGTATGAAACAAGGGTTGATGAGTGGCTGGTTAAATGGATCGAAAGACCTAGCTGTACTGGAGACGTTAGCTGGACAATTGTGGCTAGGGTACAATGAGTGCCTGTTGTGGACATTATGTTTAGTATTGGTGTTCAGTTTTTGACAGTGTAGCATCTCTCCCTGTAAGACTCTATGGTTGGTGGAACCAATGGACTCCAAATCATTTTATCTTTACAAAGATAATTAAACAACAGATGATGAAAATAGTTAAAGGTAATGAACAAATATTAATTTTAACCAGTTATGGTTAACTAGCAAGTCATTCTAAGCCCTTTAATAAAAAAAGACAGACACTTGAGAAAGAAAAGTTTCTGATAACGAATGTAACGTCAGAAAATGGGGCACAAGTATTGAAGATGATGATGACTCTTTGCTGAAAGGATCATCACGATCAGGAGACCCTTTGGTTGTAACATAACCACAAATATATCTAGAGATTAAACTCTATCAAAGGTATACCTATTGAGGTAACCGTACACTACTTTGAATTATTCAACAAGAATAATTGTCGAAAAGGGTCTCCTTATCGTGAAGCTAGATTTTATTGCTGGTTTCTCCAGTTAATGAGTATCAGAGGTTAAGCGAATCTCCACTCATGTCGATGAAATATTTGAACAAAGCAGGATTCCGATCTTGACATTTACAAAACCACGCCCACCTGCTACTGTAAAGACAGGTTATCCAAACTGCAAATTTATACCCTATATTTTTAACACTTTCAGGCGTTTTTACTGTCAGTGGTTTGAATATTGTATAATATCTTGCAGTTGTGCTTTGACTTGTGCTCCTTGTGGTGATAAAGACCACTGAAGCTATGAGTGAAACTTTGAGCTCTACTATGTCAACTGCTGACATCCTTACCCTTTATACTTTGGATCATGCTCTAAATAGATTGAAGAGAAAGAGGCACAGAGAGTTAAGACCTTGAATACCATCTAAGGTAAGGAAGATGGTGACATGTTTTCTAACATGGAGTTTTGCTACTCCACTCTATTCCACCATCACAGTGGGAGTGCAAACAAATCTCACCATCCTGCCTTGTCTACAAAGTCTCTTTGATTATCTAAAGTTGGTTGGTTGCTTGATTTGTCTTAAACCACAAAGCTATACAATGGTATGTTTGTTTTGTGCCCACTATAGGTATCGAAACTTGATATTTAGCGTTATAAGCCATTAGACTTACCATTGAGCCACTGGGGTGATTACACAAAGACTGTCTTACCCTCTATAGACAAGCACATAGATATATCAATGTTTGCTTCCAATATTCTACCTACCAGCGTTAATAATGAGCGATCATAACCAGTTACATGGGCCCTGATGTGCAAGACTATTATTCAGTTCAACCTATGCTCACGTGATTCTTGTCTATGCAATGTGGACCTGCTTCTTTGATCCAGAGCAAGGTTCATGGAAGTAGCTATATCTCTTGTAGACAAAAATTTAAAATGTGGTTGTAAATTCAAAGAGAAAATCTCCCAACTTAAATCTCTTCCATCACTTAGACAAAAGTTACCACATTAATACAATGGAACTGTCAAGGTTTTCGTTTCATTTCAGACAACATCAAAACATTGATCCATTATTACCATTCTATGTGTATTTTCTTACAAAGACTTTGAAAACAATCTGTACTGTCACAATTCAGAATATTTCCTCCATGACAAATCTTTGGATGCCATTGCTTCAATTGGTCTATCATCAGATTTTGCTCTGAATAACTGTCTCTAGGAAAGGAAATCGGTGAGACAAACATTGATGATTTTATTTAGTTCTGATACATGCCGTCCCAGCGTGATTTTATAACGGCTGTAATTGTCACATGACTTGTTAATTTGCATATTCAAAGTTCTTTTAATATAACGTACTCAATCCTGTATATGATGTTCTTGCTCTCCATTTGGTCTTCGGGTGGTTTGGTGTGTACTATCTGTGATTGTATTACGTTGTGGTTCCTAAATACTCTTTTGACATTAAGCTCTTTACAAGTCCTCTTTATGTTTTGAAAGAGACCTTTGACTTAGGATAAAATAGTTTTCGTCTCTGTAATTTTCTACAATATTCTTCGTTTTTACCTTTTTATTTTATTCTTTATTCGTCTCTTCTAAAGGAGGATCGTGGTGATGTGTCATTTTCCTGCCTTCTTATAATTTTTGCATTATAAAACTCGTTCGTTCTGGAAACTATCATGTCAATGATGTTTTCCTTATATTGGAGTAGCTTGATTTATGGTCGAGCTATTTGCTGGTATCTATGGGTTTCTTGTAAAAGTCTTCTGGTACATAACTTGTTTATCTTGGTAACCACCAGCCCTAAGAATGGGCATTTGTTATTTTCTTCTATTTATATTATGTATTATATCGTTGGATATTTGTTCATAAGTTATGGAATGTTATTTGTATGGTGAGGCATTTTCTTCGAAATGTTCCATGTAAAAGTTACTGATAATAGAGATGTGTTCATCTCTAAGTTATGTTTTTTTTTATGGTCAGTAGTATTAATCTCGATGTTGGACGTAAGCTGCGTTAATTAAAAAGGTTTATGGTTGTATTATTACTGAGATTCTCAGTTGGTTACATTCCTTGAGATTTCTATCAATTTCAAGCTAGACAATGTAATGTTTCAAGGGTTGATGCGTTATTGAATTGAAGATGATCATTATATCTTGTGAAGTTATAAAGGTGATTTTTTTTATAAACTTTGCAAATTGACGTGATTTCTTAACATTTAAAAAATGTTTTACCTGTTATTGATGCTCAGGGGTAGCATGGCTAATATATGTTTATGAATGCTAGGTAGTCCATACATGTGTGAGTGTACTGTTATTTATGTTCCAAGGGTTGATTTTGTTGCTGTTTCTTGGGGAGTTTTTTTTTTCTGTGGTAGCTATAGGGTTAGACGTGATCTTCTTGTAGTGGCCATCTTCAACTAGAGTTTGGAACTTGATGCTGTATTCCTAGTTATTCACGATTAAATATAGTGGGGTTTATATTTCATGGATTTTTGGAATTCTAACAATTTTGTTATTGAATTATTTTTTTCTTCTTCTGGTATAGTATAGATTGTGGTTGTAGCTGTATCTAGGATTAGAATTTTACTATGTGTGAGGGTGACTTTTAAGCTTTTACATAGTACACTTTCTTGTGGTCTTATTATTTATCGTCTACTTAGGTTTAGTGCTACGCAATTAGCTATATCTTAAGTGTTGTTTTTAAGAACAGCACAAAGTTACCACCTGCATATTGACGGTACAATCGGGGATTAAATTTTTCAGCTGAAAATTGTTCAATCATTTTGTTCGTGTTAATATAAGAATAAGTTGGAAATACATTTGAGTCAGTTATTACTCTATCAACCTGATCATACGAAAAAACTACCAGGGAATAAAGACAGACTTGGGTAAATCCTTGGGTACTCCACTTTTCACTCAAAGCTATATCAATATAATTATGTAAAAACGATGGGGGCTATTGGTGTGAGTCAATTATACCAGCTGG